GAAAGGCGAGTTATGACAAGCCTGAGGCTCCTCTGACTGAGGCTGGGATGAAGAGTGCGTCATTGGAGGATCGTGCCTACGCACTATCGCAGCTGAATCAGATGGTGAACTTTCACAAGAAGCACCTCTGCTCTGGGCGAGGAGCGCCTCTGGTGAGTGCGGCCGCCCCTAGTGGACCCTTTGCTCCTGACCAGTTGGATGATAGCAGGAAGTTCAGGCCTAGTGGGGCGGCGAGCAAGATGACCTACAATCTTGTGATACTGGATGGGAAGGAGGATTATCTTGCCGATAGGCGAGAGATCAATCCAGAGTTAAGGGAAACGGGAGTTATCCCTGATGAGGCCGTCACTTGCCAGATTGTGGTTCCCTCGAAGACGAGGTTGGGTGAATACCTCCCGAACTACGAGGAGACCGTGGGCACTGTTGCAGGACGGGAGGCGGCGAAGGAGTTGATGAGACTGCTCTCGTGCGATTTCGACGGCTTGGTCATCAATTCAAAGAGAGTCTCGGAGTTATTCGAGGAACGTGTGCTGAAGGAGACCGGACGCGAGGCTGGAAACTGGGTGAAAAGTGACCAGGCCATCTGGTTCCTGAAGGAGATTTCGGGCATGGAGAACGCTGAGATGTCTTGGAAGTTCTTCATTCCGACGCTTAAAGCTTTCCCGATAGGGCAAGTGGAGGCGATGCTCATGGTCATGTACGACGGGGATGGCGTTCTCCTCAAGGAGAGCACCAGGTTGGTTGCCGTTAGGCACACGCGGATCGGACGCGACTTGAGTTACAGTGCCGTTAGGCACAGGTATACTCAGGAAGATGCACCTGGCGGATCTCTGATGTATGAGATGCATTGGAATGAACTCCCCATGGTGGGATACGTCATCATGAAGTTCTCGGACTTTCGGAAGGCGGTTCAGCTCCAAAGGGTGAGGCGAAATGGAAAGGCCATGATCGAGATATTGATCACGAGGCCCGATGTGTACGAGACCATTGGGGATGGTAGGCAGGATGAGGGCCTGATCCCACTTGTGGGAGCCATGGCGCCGGATGCTGAGGTATCGCCTTCGTGGTATGTCAGGGACAGGCTGCGGAACTACTCCGGTAGGTACGTGGTGGTAATGGTGGATCTTCGGGTGCACTGGTCCTTGGTTGGACCCGTGTTTTTGACGAGAAGGAAGACTCTTGCCGTTAGGAACGAGATCCACATGGGGGCTTGGAAGGCGGCGTATATGTACGATGATTACACGATAGTGTACCATCGGGCATGGGACTACGGTGACTTCACCCCCGTTAGGGGAGAGCACAAGCGATCACGGGAAGAGATCAGGCTGAATGTGACTGCCACGTTCTGCTTGAGGTGCGCGGAATTGATGCCGAATGGGATGCACTTGTGTCCCGGGTGCGCGCTCCCGGTCTTTTACCCGAACTTTATCCCCAACGCGGAGGAAAAGGACTTCGAAACGTGCCACATCGTGCCGGAGTGGGTGAGGACCATGGGGCAGTTCAAGCCCAGGAGGATTCCCTCCGAAGTGGTCGGAGTCATCAAGAGGAATTTGATTTCCTATTCGATGGCATCCGATCTAAGGATGACGGTGCAGAGCGGCATCAGACTTCCCCCTTATCTTGGTGAAGACAAGGGAGGTGTCGATGCGGCGTGGGATGAGCTGGCGAAGGTGCTATTCCAATTCTCCTATGTGTCCGGGATTTCGGCATCGGATGCGTGTGTGGAAAAGTGGGTGGCGAAGCACCTGATCAAGACCAACCAAGTCGATAGATTTGAGTCGGTCACGGAGTACTTCCGGGCCAACCCAAGACACGCTGCTCAGTGGGGTAGGCGTATGACGACTTCCGTTAGGAAGTTCGCTCGTCATGACACGTACTTGTCATTCTATATTCCGATGGCATACGTGATTGGTTCTGCGGCTGGTCATCTGACCCCATTGTACCCGACCCATCGAAAGGACGTGGACATTCTGGAGAGTCATGCGTTGATTTCGCAGCTCAGGAAGTACATGGTATCGGAGACGGGGTACGATGAGAAGAAGAGGTTGAGGGAGGCGATAGCCAAGGTGCAGAAGGCGATCAGCGCCGGACAGTCGGAGCCTCCCGCACCCTTCCGTGACCCGTTCGTCTACGTTAGTGACGAAAGGGTGAGGACGGTTCTTGACGGTCGTCAACCCGAACCTTTAAACGTGGACATCGAGGGACTCCAATCGGTGCATCATGCTGCGCCGGGTCCTGGTCCCAAGCAGGAGCCGGTCCCCAAGGGCGGAAAAGGGAAAGGGAAGAAAGGGGAAAAGGGCGGTAAGGGCGGTAGTCCTTCCGGCCCACCACCGAAATCAGGTGAAGTGCCAGGTAAAGGATCTGGTAAGGGCGGTAGCCCATCTGTCCCAAAGGCGAAGGATGATGCTGGACCTGCTCCGATGGAGGTTGATACAGCAGCAGCTCAGCCGAAGAAGTCTTGGGCCGAGATGGTGGTTGAAGGGGCCAGGCCGAGTGCCAAGGCTAAAATGACCCCGATTCCTAAGGCCGAGCCGAGAGGGAAGGCCGCTTCAGCTTCTGAGGCGAAGGGTGCCCGGCTCCAAAAGCTGTGGCTAAGGAGACGAAGCAGGCCGAACCGAAGGTTGAGGTCAAGAAGGAGAAGACAGGAGGAGGTGACGCTCCCGGCGGTAGCCGCGGGTCGGCCGAAGGACAGAAGAGAGAAAGGAAATCCCGTTGGGATCCCGACGAGGCTGCGAAGGAGTCGACAAAGCGGGAGGCGTCCACGAGGCCTGGCGACGTCGACAGCAGGCCAGGTGCGGCAGCGAGAGAAGCTAGCGGGGATGATCTTCACTCCGCGCTTGGCAGGTCTTCGGCGGGGAGATCCGGCTGCAGTCTGCTGAGCGGGCTGCGGCGAGCCCGGTGGAGGGTCACTTCCTGGTGCTGCCTGAGAGTTCGGTGGTGGACGCTTTCTTGTCGATCTCCACCAACAGAGTGCTGAACAAGCAGGTCAGGGATTTCATCAGGAATGGTGAGGACGCGTCGGCACTGGAGGCTCTCAACCAGATCGTGACGAACTCTCGATCTGGGAGGAGGCATAGGGAATCGGATGTTTCCCGTACTCCTTCTCGGAGGTCCGTTAGGACCGTGGACACCAGGGATTCCAGAGAGTCGAGGAGGCGCAGATACCGTCCGCGGCGCGAGGATGATCGCGACAGGAGGAGGGACGATGCTCGTGATCGTCGTGATGATGATTCACTCGATCGGGAGCGAGATCGAAGGCGAGATGATCGCAGGAGATCCGAAAGGGATCGTGACAGGGACCGTGCGCGGGGCGGGCGTGACCGGAGGAGACGTGACGATAGCCGGTAGGCTGAGTCACGGGGATTGCGGCCGATAGGCTTGCGTCCATTCTCCAATGGTCGGCGCGGTGTGGAGGTGGTGATGTTCCTCCCGGACCGCTGAGGCGCGGAGGTCATGTCTCTCCCGTACCGCTGCTGAGCTGCTGGACGTGTTCATCCGGAAGCAGTGTGAGTGAGAGGGAAAGCAAACTGATGGGGGGTTACTCCCGGGTTTGCGGAATTCAAGCATTTTTCAGGTACGCATGGTCAGGGGTATCTCTTGCCGTTAGGCGAGGGTACTAATGGACATACGTTATCTTTCTTTTTCATGGCTTCTGATAAGAATTAAACTTCTTGCATTGTTGATGCAAACAGTTGTGACCTAGTGTCGTCATGTGGACCTTTCCACAAGGTATGTTGGACAGCGTTACCCCGATTAATTCGGGGTGGTGGCGGGAATTTAATGCCCGGGATGTCGCGCAACTGCCTTTGTGGGTTTGCTCCACCGCTGACGGCGGTAGTGTCCAGCTGTTTGCGGACGCATGCGAGCAGTTAAATCCTATCAGTAAATGGCACGCTCCACCCGTCATATGACGGGCTCCTCGTGAGGGGGGTGTGATTAGCCATGATTCATTTCATCATCAGGGATGTCGCGGTAGTGACTGACCTGTGGTGTTTGGCTCAAGTTTTGGGTTCCGTCGCGCCTCGAATGGGCGTCGCCGAACCCCTGCGTCGACCGACGGCATCTCGGGGGAGAAAGAGACCTCGGGCCGCCGCCAGGTTGGTAGGGACCAGTCGTGCGGCCTGTTGTCGACCAAGGTTGCGGGTTAACCCTTTTCTTGTTTGGTTTGTTTCCTTTTGGTTGTTGTTCTCTGGTGTGTGGGAAACCCTGATCTTTGGGACCGGGGATTGGTTTGCTTTTGGGGAACCTTTCTTTTGTGGCTTGTTTACCCCAACTTACCCATTGCCTGGGCACAGGCTCGTGCCCGAATCACATAGATAGATAGATAGATAGATAGATAGATAGATAGATAGGTAGATAGACAGATAGGTAGGTAGATAGATAGATAGATAGATATAGACATAGACATAGACATAGACATAGAAATAGAAATAGACATACATAGATAGATAGATAGATAGATAAATAGATAGATAGATAGATAGATAGATAGATAGATAGATAGATAGATAGATAGATAGATAGATAGATATAGACATAGACATAGACATAGAAATAGAAATAGACATAGATAGATAGATAGATAGATAGATAAATAGATAGATAGATAGATAGAAGGCTAGATATACATACGCATGCTTCAAGGTTTAAGAAGGGTTGCAAGGGCTGATTGTTTTTTGCTAAAGGGCTCACATGGGCCCTTTTATGCATCAAGGTTTAGAACATCGCATATTGTTAATACTAATGCGGCGCCCATACATTTTTTGCCTGTTTCTAGTGGCGATTAATTGAGACACCGGGCTTACACGGGGCTTACACCGGGCTTACTTCTCTTGACTTGGAAGACTTTGAAAGTTGCGAAATACTGTGGCCAGGGGATGCATGCCGTTTCCCCATGTGTATTTACTGGGCTCACATACAGGTTCTACCAGGATGACGTTTTGCTGTTGGGAGGCTTTCGTGTCTCTCGTTGCCTCTCCCTGTGCAAGGAAGAGCCGTCGCCCTTGGCCGCTTTTTCAGAGGCGAGAGGAACCGTTTGGGTAAAAAACGGCATGGGAGCTTCTCAAACTAGTGGACGTCTTAGTTGGTATTTCAAGGCAAAAGGACACCAAAAGAATGTGAACCATCTTTCCAATTTAGGGGACCCCTTTTTTGGAGAAACACCCAAACCATACAATTAACCAAAGGCATTGAGCAGAATGGTGATGTAGAGGTTGTGTGCCCTGAGGGTCGATGGGACGACGGGGGAATCTGGCTGGCGTACAAATTACAGCCTTGTACAAAAGCGATATAATGTTGACCGTTCGCCACCACCCCCGGGTGGCGAAGGCTATGGCTATGGTAATTGTTTGATCCACTGGGCTAGGTGTTTTGGCTGGGATGCTTAAGAAAGTGGGTTTGTCTCGTGCAGGAACCTCGAAGTAGGAGCCCCACACCCACATGCACCTGTGCTTGCCGTGAAACAAGTAGCTATGACCTCTGACAAAATGACGGTTGAACTCGCGTAAGTCCCAGCAGGGTTGAACATGGACCAAGCGTGGCACATGGAGTCCATGGAGTTCCTGCTCTTCTTTTTGAGGTTGCTTCTCCTCTTGGTTCTATGGTTCCTGCTTCGGATGGGGAATGAACACCATTTTTGCCCTTTGCCGACATAATAATGGACACCGCAAGCAACAATTACTTTATGCCAGAATTCACTGAACGATTCGAAGTTGGACCAGGGTTGGGGGATTCAACCCGTTAAAGCCATGTGTTTTCTATGCCTTTCGTAGCATCTGTTTGGTCTCATAGCGGCTCGAATCGGGCGATCAACAAGTTTGGCCCCACCCTTGTCACAAGGAACATCGGACTTCTCTGGCCACCTAAACAAACAGGATTTACCTTTTAGTGTGGTTCCGTTTTTGGCACCCGCTGTTTGGGGTTGTTTCAGGGGAAACCCAGGAAACCATGTGTACCATTTCCGGTGCATTTCGAGTCAAACCCTTTGCCTGTGGGCCTTAAATGGTTATTTTGACCAAGAACCAAGGGTTCAAGCGGTTTGGGTTGTTTGGGGAAACTCAGAAAGTCATTGGACCTCCCTTTTGGGGATCTAAGGGAAACAGTTTGTTGAGGGAATATTGTGAAGCTGAGAGCTATGGGGTCTCTACCCAAAATAGGCCCTGGCTTGGGGCAGCTTTCAGGGAGGGTTCTGGAGATTCGGTTCCAGTACATTCCGGGGGCTGTTGGCGCTCCACCTTGGCTTATCTTGCTGTTGCTCAGTAAAAATGACCCAGCGGCGGTGGTGTTGCGAATGAACCGTTTTGGGGATTCCCTTAGCGACTCCAATATGGTTTAACCAAACCAACCACACCAACCAAAAGGGGAAACATGGGAAACCAAAGGTGAAGTCATTCCAACTCTCATTTTCCCTGCCTCTCTCGCACGGCGCCGCCTGGGACGCATCGACGGGACGCATCGACGGGACGCATCGGGACGCCACCGACTCGCTTCGGTAGGCGGAGGGCGAGCGAATGGAGCAGCTGGAGGCGGAGCTGCGGCGCTTGCGACGGGAGAACGGCACGCTGAAGAGCAGCTTGTTCAGCTCCCAGGAGTCGTTTTGTGGTTTTGTCGTTTTCCGGCTGTCCGACGGTTTTGGGTGAGTTTTGGTTGGAAAATAGAAATATGGGTACGAGATGTGGTTCTTTTATCCAGAACAAGCTCCCTTAGAAAAGCAGAACAGGGATCTAAACAAGACACGCCCTTAAAAGGCGGCACTTTAGGCACCAGGGTCCAAAATAAGGCAATTTGTTCGGACCCTCCAAATGGCAACGATTGTTACATGATTGTTGTTTAAATAGCCCACATACAGAATGCTCGAATGCCCTCTGTTAAAATGCAACCGCTTACTTCAGGGCTTAGCGCTTTTCTTTGGGTGTCAACCCGAACATCTAATATCTAATGTTGTTTCGTTTTCTGACCCATTTCTCTCGCATGTTTTGGAAAACCAGGGTTAGGTGTTTGATCGAAATGGAGCCCGCCAAATCCGGGGGCCGCCAAATCCCTGCGCTCCGACTCCAGAGCCGGCTGCAGGAGGAGGCTCAATCGAAGTCCAGCGAAGCGGCAGAGCTACTGCGGGAGGTGGGACAGCGGTTTTTGCTTTCACGGGGAGAAGCGCCGCCTTCGGTACCATCTGTTTTTTTTTTCTTAAAAAATGTGCTATTACTCTAGTACTTGTGCCAGGGATTTCAGAGCAACCCCCGCATGTGGCATGATGGGAATACATGGGTATGACACCTAAAGGAGAACACTGGCAAAAGATCGCACAATCTCGCCCTAATCGCCAGAGTTTCACTGACCTTGACACCTTACAATGCATACCTGAACATTGGTCTTTCGCGGCATACCTTGTTCAAAGCTCACCATTCAAAGTTCAATCTGTTGCTTGTTATGTTGGAATGTGTAGCTGACCTTTGAACCGTTCAGCTTGCGTTCGTATATGATATACAGAGTTTGCATTGTCCAGAGCTGACCCTCAAACCTTTCGATTCCTGGCTGGTCGTAGGTGTCCACGGTAGATCATGGTAGTTTTCTTTTAGATCCCACCGGCAAGGTTTCCACCGTTTCTGACATATATATATATATACATACATACATATATATATATATACAGATGAATATACATATGTTTGCGCATACATCGGTACATGTGTATGTATGCCTCTGATGTATTAGACCATGTACATCTATTCCCGCATCCCCACAGTCGCAAAACTCTCGCGCAATCGTTTTGGATCCAACCGCAGAACAGCCACCTGAAGTCGGAGCTGGACACCATCCAATTCACCCACCGCGATGAGCTGCAGGTGGAGCGGAAGCAGATCCAGGCCACCAGACGCGAGGAGGGAGGGCTTAAAAATCATATGGGGGGAGGGGGGGGGGGGGTTGGAGGGTGCTTGTTTTACTTTGGTTGAAAGGGAAACCACCAGAAAAAGCCGTGATTGTGTTTTGGACTGCGGGATTCACCATGCAATCTATTTGCTTTTGGAGGAGGTTGTTCCTGTGAAATCAGGTGGCAAGAAACGGACTCTTTTTTCAGGGGGAGCGCTGGTTCACTTTGAAATAGACAAACCAAGCGGACAGCACGCACATCAAAATGAAGCTCCACAAACACAGCAGCTTTGCAGAAAAGAACTTCCACAACTTCCATTTGCTTAGGAATATCTCAAATGTCCCATTGTTGGTTTTAAAGCGAATCTCTGACTACTGGACATAATTTACCAGGCTGACGCCTGACTGCTGCTGACCCTCATCCCGTTTTCTCTTGACGGTGCTGAGGCGTCTCCGCGGTCAAGAAAAGAAAGCCCCCCAAGGTCTTGGCTTGCTTGCGGTGGTGCTGGTGATGCTGGTGATGCCGAACATGTAAGTCATGGTGGGGTAAGGGGGCGCGGTCCAAGGGCTAGAGTCTTTATGATGCGCTTTCGAATGGCAGTACTTTTGGGATTTCTTGACCACTGCAAGCGCTTGCGCGGTCAAGAAAAGCAGTGGTCCTTGAACCCTCCCAAACCCAAATCCCTGGAGCCAGCCCAGGGACCAAGCCCTGGAAGTAGGGTTAGACAGAAAAAGAAGGTCTTTCCCCGATGGCGCATAGTTCATAGTTGCAAGCCACCGCGCCCCCTTCCTGGGTGTGAGTGGGCTAAGAGCAGGAGGGGTCGGCGGATCGGATTTTGTGGTTGGCTTGAAGGGAAACTAAGAGGTAAACCACTCGGGTCTCGCGTGTTGTCGAGGAGCTCCAGGAGCGCGAGGCCCAGCAGCGCCAAGAGATGCAGAGCCTCCAGGCGCGCCTGGCGGAGGTGGAAGGCGCGGGTGCAGCGGGGCTGGGAAGAGGAGATGCGGGGATGGAGCGAGGGGGCTGGGAGAGTTGGGGAGGGGGGGGGGGGGGGGGGGTAGAAACCCACCATTTTGGGGTTGCTCCAAATAAACCACAGGAAATTTCCACCCATGTTGGCTCGTTTTCCGCCAAGGCGACTTGGCGCGGTGGCAGTCCGCGGCACAGGAGGCCAAGACCGCGGCGAGCTCGGAGAAGGCGGGGCAAGCGGCTGCGGGGCAGGGATGGCGGGGCTGGAGGTTGGACGTTCTGGGGTGATGTCTTCATGTTCCTGGATTGAAATTTAGTTGCGGAAATGCAGATATGATACGTGCGCAATATGCATAGATACATCTCTCAATGTCTCTCTCTCTGTCTCTGTCTACAACTGTATACATATACATTTACACATATACGTTTACATATACCTTTGCATATACACAGAATACCAAGAAACATATACCCATAACACATATGTGCATCTATGTGTGCATATATATATATATATAGAAATATTCATGTTTATACCTTGTTACTCATAGTTTTGTGTTCCCAGCCCGCGTTCGAAGACGAGGAGCGCTTCGAAGAGATCGAGAAAAGGCGGCGGCACCTGGAACAGCAAGCCGGAGACCTGCGGAAGGCTGCTTCGTCGCTGGTTTCCGTGGCTGGGAAGGGGAAGTTAAAAGGAGCTTGGAGCAAGAGGTCTTCGTGGTTAGTTGGCTGGATCTTGGGACTTTAACTTTTTGGTTGAAGCGCTGGAGTTTCCGTTGGACGACAAACAACTGGAACTTTTGCAGAGGGGTAAACAGCAAGCAAGAGGTTAAACCATGGGTTGACAGGGGGATGGGGCTGGTGAAGCAACAGGTGGTTATACCATGACGGAAGTACACGGGGTAGACCATGGTTACAATATGTAAGCCGTGTATAAGCCCAATACAAGGAGAAACGGTTAGACATTTGTGGTACATGGGGGGAAAGGAGGTTGTTTGAAGAGTTGTTATCTGAGCAATACCCTATGTTTCCAAGAATGAAGCTGACAAGAAGGTTTTGGAAAACTACGGTCCTCTCGAAAATGCCTGTCTCTCTACTTTGATGAGTGTTTGAAAGAGATGCTAAAACAGGGGGTTGGCCCAACCCTGGGGGTGGAGGGACCTTGTGACCTAATTGTGCCAGGGGTCCACGAGATGGTTTGCGAAGGTTTGAACAGACTCTCTCAAGAGTGAGATTTCTAAAGCCAGTTTTGGAGTTTGGGATTGAAAGCTCACCCGGGGGCCAGGCTGTTCCTGGTTGGCGTTCTCATGGCTATACCATGATTGAAGCCACGTTGGTTGAAGGCAAGGAACAAGCCGCGAGCTCGGACTTTGAGAATTCCCGAAAGCAGGGACATCGTGGCTGTGCTGAGATTCGCGATCCTTTCTGGACGGTGTTTGGATGAGCAGTCAAAGGACTGTTTGTTTGGGGGGGGGCTTCTGTATTTGAACACACCCTGGACGTTTTGGCGGAAAACTGCCAGATCCATTGCAAAACACACTTGAACAGAAGCCATTTTGAAATCATCCCCACTCTGCCCCATGTAAGCCCAATATTTCGGCCCCTCCAAAGGGAAGCCTAAACCGAATGGATGTCTCAACTGTTATGTTGAATGTGGTTAGGTTCACGTGGCCACCCGAAAAGAATTGCGGAAGGAGCGCCAGGACACGGACTTTGTGCTGAAGGACCGTGCGTGTCGCTGTTGCGCCTTCGGGCATGTACCCCAGCCAGGCAAAGAGATTCCTTTTCAAATCAGTCTTGCAACGCGTCCTTTGTTTCTTCATGCTGAGAATCTTCAGGGCAGGTGCTTTGCAATGTCTACCTGTTGGGAGAGGCATTTCCTCAAATCACCCCAACCAAAAGACTCCAAGGAAATTGGCGGCTTCGTTTTGTTGTCCCTTTAAAGCCAAGGGCATCGCTGGAAGAACCTGTCGTGGCATTTGCCACACTTTCCCTTCCTTAGGCCCGCAAGCATGTTCTTGCAGCCGAATCACCAAGAACGTCTCTGTTTACAGCACGGTTAAGACGTGTTTGGGGGCAATATGAGCCCAGACCGAAACCAGTTGTGTTGCCAGAGTTCTCAATATATAGAGAAGCCCTAGAATGGTTGCCTACCATTTGGCAGAATCCAATCCGAGTTCCTATACTCACTCTTTGCGTTAGCTTTTCGGGAAATGACGAAGGTTCCCCACTATCTCGAAGCAAGTCGGACTCTTTGCAGGGGTCCAGTTCGGCCCAGCCAGCTTTGCAGGGGTCCAGTGGCTGTGTTATAACGTGTATGTTTCCTTTTTACGGTTTCCCTTAAGTAGGTGGTATTTTCCTGGTCTCCCTCAGCAACATCCAAAAAGAGTCCACAACTTGGACTCAAATCTGTTGTTGTTGCTCTCCACAGGGGGTGCAAACTGTTTGCATCATATCTCCCTGACTTGGTCCCTATGTCTGGTAATTTAGCATAACAATTATAGGACCAACCTTGTGGGGCTCGTGCCCACTCTATGACATGAATCAGTCCCGCTCTCAGCTTGATGTGTCAACAGGAATTCTATGACGGCCTTCTTTTAGAATCCCAAGACACAACAAACAACTGCAGCTTATCTTCAACGCAAAGGCTAAACAACTTGCTGGGAAATGCCAGCAAGACACCGAGTCGCTGCGCGCCTCTCAAACATCAACCCCTGAAGGGTGGCACATTTCTGTGGCTTCCCTTTAGGCAGCAAACGTTTGTTGTGCTAAGGTCTCCGGAGCAGCCCTCAGTTCAACTCAGAAAATCGGGATGCCGGAGGAGAGCCAAAGCAGCTGGCGGGCGGAGCGCGAGAAGTCGGCGCCCCGGGGCGCCGAAGAGATGAACTTTCCGCATCTCGCAGCAGTGCTCCGCGTTTCTTGTTTGGCCATGGGTTGCCTAACCTATGGCGATCCCATTTTTGGGTGGATGAACATCCATTTGCCACCTAGTTTGATGTTCACCAGGGGTTTCCTGGGTTTTGACCCACAGCCGTTTCTGTCTTTGAGGGGCGAGGGGGGGGAGTCAACGACAAAAGCTTGTATTTTTGCTTGCAAATAGAGGGGCCAGGTCGCCAAAAGGGGGTCCCTTGATTTCAGCTTTCATCAGTTCCCTGGTTCGCCGGTGTCCAACATCATGTGGGTGTGGCTCAAAATTAAACAGCAGGGGGTGGTTTTGGTCCATGTTTCCACTTACCAGGGTTCCATTTTGGTACCGGTTTTTTTAGCCACAGCCATGTATTGTCCATGCAGGGAGCGGAGGTGGTGTTGAAAGGGCCCTTGACATGTTGCTGGTTGCCAATTTGTCCCAAGAGCGGGTCCAGAACTGCTCTCGTGGTCTCGTCTGAAGGCCCAGCCTTGGATGCTAAGAGGCCTTATGACACCATAGTTTTTTGGTTGCGGAACGGTGGTCATCAAATTCCCAATGGGTCTTAGACAACCAGGGTAAGGATTCCTCTACACGGAGCCATGGCCCCGCAGGAGTTGAACCATGGCATGGGAGTGTTGCTTCCCCGGTTGACGTATTCCTTCTGTGGTTCCATTGGCAGGTGATATGTCTGGCTTTGGTTCTCACGCGGGGCTATGAGTAAACTCGTAGAGGCCAAGAGGAAATTCTACAGAAGATGCACAGACACCCACCAAGCAATCAAGGATTTTGCTGAAGTTCGCAACAAACATCAAGCTTGATATGTCTTGCCAACGGAACACCAAAGCCCATGCTGACTCGCGGTGGGTGCTCTGTGTCGACCGCGGATAAAGCCTTGAGGATTAGTCTGGGTGTGTTTCCCCCGAAAGCGATCCGGAGTCCCTCTACACTAGGACAGTCGGACACCCCCCCTATTTAATCCAGAGGTTGATTAATCAACTGGGTGATCAAATCTGGGGTCTCCTCCAAAGCTCATTTTCAAAGTTTCATGCTTGGCGAATATGAATCAGAACATCTAATTTTCTGTGTCCACCACACATGAAACAACACTCATTATTCTTTGCAGTGAACCCCATTGGCCCAGAAACCTCCGAGCTGGCAGGCTGGTGCAGGACATGAAGCTCAAAGATCGGGAGCTCGGAAACTTGAAGCAGGCGGGAATCGACGTTTTGCGCGGGGACTTGGCTCGTGTTGTTCACGTGAGCCAACGACAAGAAGGTGGGTTTTGAGGCTTTGCCGCCCAAGTTGATTGAAATAATTGCGAAGATGCGTGACATTTCCTGGTGTTCAAAGAAAATGGTTTGACTGGAATCTAGATTGCGTTTCGGTGTCACCTGACCTGAAGCAACTCGACGCATTTTTTCTCTGGTCCATAGGCCCCAGGTTGGCTGTCAGACCGAGTTGCTTTTCAGCTCCGACTGGCTCACAACTGGTGCAGCCAATGAGCCCCACATGAGCTGTGCCTCTGAGTTGCCATGCAAAAGATGGGGCCCCCAAGGCAGGTCCTTGGAGTCACCCCTCAATTGAGCCATCAAAACCCAGGAAGGTGGGGGATCCGCAGGTGTGGCAAGAAGCCGCGCCTGAATTCTTGACGACATGGTTCTGGGTAGACCATAATTAACACCATTTTGATTGCACATTTAGGGTCGCCCAACAGAAGGCTTCCCTTTCTTTCCCATGGCCCACTGGTTTGGGAGGCTTCTGGTGATTCACTGGGGGTTCAGGTCCTGGACAACGTCACGGCCGCCCACGTGCCCAAAGAAGAGCTGCAGAAGCCCGGGAATCGCTTGAGAGGGATGGCGGTGCTCCTGTTTTGGAAGGGAGGTCCATTTAAAATCCACCAAGAGAATATCTAGGTCCCCCAGTAGTGCCCTTTTACCCCTTTTTTGGGGGGAGGGTTCCCCTACTAAAATGGACTACAGAAAAAAAGGGTACCCTTATTCTAACCTCTCTACTCTGGAGGATCTAGACGTGCCAATTCCCCTTTTGTCCTCAGGAGCCGCGGGGTTCTGGGTCCCCAACAGCGACAGCCAATGGATGGGTGTTCTTTCCCCTTTCCCTTTAAAGCCACCCTCAAACCATCGAAAAGGGGTGGGCCCGCAATTTGGTTGGGCCTTTGGACCTTAACTTTTTGGGAGACTGTGGATTTCCATTGGACCTACCAAGAGTTAAACTTGTTGCAGATACTTGGGCTGATTTTATGTTTTTCGCCTTGTTGGTTGCTGAATTCAAAGGGAAACCAAGAGAACCACCCCATGTTGAAGAGCCCGTTCTTGTGTGTTTATCCTCGATTGAGGATACCCCTTCTTGCTTGATGTTCATGAACAAACAACACAAAAGCGCGTTCGGGAGCGCCCCCCTATTCTGAAATAATCCCAGTTGGCAACACTCGGCTTGGTACAGCCGAGAGGGCAGCTGTCCCAGCCTGGCCAGTTGGGTGTTACTGGCTATGTTACTTTGATGACTCGAGTTTGTGAAAACCTGGCGTATGACTAGTTGGATGTTGGATTTTTCTATTGCTGTGGCCATGTCGCTTTCTGAAACTCACCAAAACGGACCCTTCCAGCTTGATGACCATGTCCATTTCTTAAATGGGTCGGTTTTGAGGCAGATGCAAAGAAGCAAGGAGCACCACGTTGGGGGTCCTGAATGGGAAGCCAACTGACCGCACAATGATACCGCCATTCAATGGCGTTCGGTGAGCTGGATTGATCAAGGACGTGTTTGGCAAGATTTGTGTTTTCGTGGAATCGAAACACAAGAGAAGGAGTTCGCCCTCGTGGTCACAAGCCAGCTGGCGAGAAAGTACTCGTAGATGTACTGTTCCCCGTGTTTGCCGGCCGTGTTTGCATTGCTGTGCGGGTATCATCCTTACTCAGGGGATATTTTGACCCCCACCCCCCACTCTGCTTCTCAGACTCTTCTCCAGAGAATCTCTTGCAGGAATACAAAGCTTTCCTGCGGGGTGCTGCGGCCTTGAATTTCTCTTAACCTTACACCATGAGCTTACAAGTAGCCAGTAGCTTGAGGTCAATCGTAGGTCCCCACCCTGAGCGCCTCATCGCTGCACATGGTGGCCTCGGTGGTCCAAAGAAGTTGGCCCGTTTAGCCGTTCGGCCTCATTTGTCAGGGTCTCACATCAGTTTACTCCCTCAAACTCCACGTGCGCCATAAAGGAGCTTATACCCCACCCCCCAAAACCTTCCCAACCGGAGCTCCTTGTAGAGCGCGAAAGCGACCCCCCAACAACGGGTCCGATCCCTGCAGATTCCGGGATCGTTCATTTGCGGGTTTGAGACCAGTGGGACACTCGGTGAGCGGTTTGCTTCCAGGTGGAAGAGCCGCTGTGATGAGCTGCAGCAACAAGTGGACCAGGCAGGAAGTTCACCAAGGGTATGGGGAGATGGTGAATGGTAGAACGTGTTTTGATACCTTGTTTTGGGGTCCTTGGAGAGGTTTGCTTTTTGTGTGTTTGTGTGTATATATGTGGTGTGTTCTCTTTTGGGGCGGATGGGAGGTTGGGGGTCAACGGCAAAACACTTGAATGGTTCCATTGGTGGGGGGGGTGTTTCCCAAAACACTATGTGTCAGAACTGGGCTAAGAAAGCAGCTACCAGGAATCAAGTGGCGTGAACAGATGGGGCCATGTTTTGGGATGCCGATGAAGCTGCACACAGCATAGCCAGCCAGCACCAATCTGGGCAAATCGCGACCACCTTCCGGGCGGTTGCCCTTTCCTGGGGGTCCGTCATATTGGTGAAACATGATTCAGATGGTTCAAACCAATTTGAGTTGGGCTCGGAAAGTCTGACCCGAAATAAACCTAGATCTCAGGCTGCCGCTAAAACCGTGCCAAGTTGGCGCCAGCAATTTGCTCGCACAGAACGATGCGTTTGCAGATGCCCCAGAAACCTGCAGATGCCCCAGAAACCCGCCGGTGGGATTCCGACATGCAGAAAAGGGGTTCCGGCAACGGGAGCCAAAGTCAAAGACGTTCCACACGGAGGGTTGTCCCAATGAAGCAACCATGGGATGTGTTTGAAGTTGAAGACAACCACAAAAAAACCTCGCATTTGAAGCAGAATCAAATGGGAGCTACACATGTGCATTTGTTGTCAGCTCTTTCTTTGAGCACACCCTTTAGGGTTCGCTTTTGTCGGAAGGAAGGGACACCAATGACCATGGGAGGAAGCCGCTGATTTCGGGGTTTTCAGACAAATCCATGCCCAATTCGGCGAGGCCAACCGCGCCCGGAGAGAGATGCAGTCGGCCGCTGCCTCGGCCCCCCGATGCTTCGAGTCCCAAATTTGGGACTGGATCGAAAGGCCGGTTCTCCGATTTTGAGGGCTGAATGGGGCTGATGTCACCTTTTGGGTGCCGTGAGTTCTTTCCTGATCTCGATGATCCCAAGACATGGTTATTGTTAGGAAACATTTTACATTTTTGCTTATTGTGGTTTAGTGGGGAATCCCCACTTAAATGCTAAGATTTGTTTTTGTTGCTCCCCTTCCAACGTCAACCAAGAAAAAGGGACTCAGAGTCTGACCAGATCTTGCTTTCCGGTGTCCTTTGTTTACCTCTTGGTCTTGAAAGCATGTCTTCCCTGGCAACCTGCTATAGTGGCTTGCCCGGAGGCACTGGGTAGTCAAGGTACCAACGAGCAAACTTTATTTGCAGGTCTTTTTGGGCAGGTGAAATTGTAGCAGGTAAGCAGTTGGATTGTTCAGCTTTGGTTTCCAAATTGTGGGACGCACTTGCTTTCTAGAATGCTAACTGCAAGAAACAGCTGAACGGTGTCTCGATTGAAGGACAGGTAAAACAGAACGGGCGAGGCTCTATGATGATGAAAGGATTTGTTATGAGGTAGCAAGCCACTAACAGGCACCCAGGTGGATTTCCTGTTTTCAAGCGGTGTCCCAATGGTTGTGGAGCCTACGAGCACCATCGAGCACCATCACGATCGCTCGGGTGAGACGTGCGGCATTTGGTTACCACATAGGACCTGACCGGAGATGCGAGCTGGAGGTCGGTGCTGTCGCAGCAACGGTTTGCAGCTGGTGCAGACGCCATGTTAACATGAATCCGGGACCAGTGGTGGTTCCTTGGCCTGAGGGCCCGGTGGATAGCCCAGCTGACGTTGCGCCTCTTATGCTGTAGCATCTGAAGCAGCCCCGCCTGCAGATGGCCAGATTCTGATCCAGAACCTATGCCTGTTGTGCATGGGCGCGATCGGTCCAGAGGCGGAATAGGGAGTGAGCATCGGCCAGGATGCCAGCCGTAGGGTGCAGTTTTGGCAGCTCTTTGGCATGGGGTGTGTGTGAATAGACTTAGTTATGTGCAAAATGTAGTTAGGTAAACACACTTGGCCTTGTGCTTCATGCAGCTGCATTGCAGACCAGCAGATGATTTCCTTGTGTGCCAAAGCTTTGCAGATCGTGTTTACTTCGTAACCACTATGCCCGTGGAAGTGAATTGCGCTTGCATTGGATAGGGCTTGCAGATGTGATTTTGCACAGCATGTGGAACTGGTGGAACTTGGACTTGCTTGAGTTGGCATTTGCTTTAGATGTGAGATATCCCTTGGAGCCTGCGGATGCATTGCATGTAGAGCTCAATCTGAGCATCGGATATGGGGTTGATTTCCCCTTTTCTCAGCTTAGATCATGACACCTGCACTTGGCTTAGCTGTTGCAACAAGTTTGTAGGGAAATGGCTTGCAGCAAGCAGGCTGGGGGCGGATGGCAGCTCGTAGGCAATTGATTAAGCTTTTTCCTCCCTCAGATTGCTGAATCGCGATTTGGAGAACGCTTGCGATTGCTGACTTTGAGCAGCGTTTCGTCCAAGCTTGTTGGTACAAACAGTGGCTTTGGCCTGTAAGTAATTACAGGCGGATCCGCACAAAGCCCTGAGTTGTCTTGAACACATTCTGGGCGTCATCCATGTCTTTCCGTTGGGCATGTTGCCAATGTGGGAAGGACAGGCCGTTCCAAATCCCAGTTCTGCTTGGTAGGTTTCCTCCAAAAGCTGCCCCGAAGTGGCTCCAGATTGTTTTGTTTGCCACGTCTGTAGAAACAGGGAATCTCCAGAAAGCTCCTCGATGACGGTTTCAACGAGAAGCTAAGGTAACCCATTTGAGGGTCATCAGCCATGATTATTCAATATGTTTGGAAGGTAAGCCTTATTTTAAACAGGCGTTTCCTCCTTAGACTCTCTGGAAAGACCTGTTCTCCTCTTGTTTTGCCCTAAGCTACGTCGTAGCTGTGCTTTACTCGCTGAGGCTGTGGGGCATATGACCCATGCGGCCAGGAACTCAGTTCGGAGCACCGCAACCTCACCTCGTTGGGGGGGGGGGGGGGGTTCAAAAGCGTTGTTGAGATGTCTCGCTTTGATTTGGTGAGTTGTTACAGATTATCCGGACATATGTTTGCAGATCACTTTGCAAAAGGCGCGAAAGACAACCTGGGCGCCCGACCAACGGCTTGTCGAACAAAGCCAAACACGGCAAACATGGCCTGCAGCGGCGGGAAGACTGGGCGTGAGCTCTTGATCAGTTGTTTTGACGAGAGTGTGGAAGCCCTCAACAACTGGATACTGACAATCAACCATAGGAACCTTGATTGCGGCTGCTGATGTTTTTCCAGCTATGTTTTGTTTTGAAAGTAATTCCAGCTATTGTTTGTTTTGAAAGTAAAGTTGCAGCCACTTGCCCAGCTAGATCAATCCTCAGCGATGCCATCGAACCGAGGCTCGGTCTCCTGTCGGTGTCCTTCCCATACTTAGACGATTAAACAGGGGCCTCAAGGTGGCTCTAAGACCAGCAACCCACCCCGAAAGGAAATGGGGCAGGAAAAGCCCTTTACACCGATGCTGCACAGTGGTGCGGAGGGAGTTGTCTAGTAATGTTGACCCCAGACAAAATCAACCCCAGTTTATTAGTAGGGGAGTGTCCCTGGGTTTAGTGGGGAATCATCACTTTTGGAGGGGCCCCCACCCCCCTTATTAATAAACTGGGGCTGATTAATATGGGGTCAACATTAGCTTGGGCAGCCACTTTGTCATTTCTTGGGGCCCCGATTTCCACATAGGAACCCCAGCCATGCCTCAGGCCTGCGCACGCGGAGGAGACTTGCACGACCTGCAGTTGCGCCCGGGTGCCCGCATGAATCAGAAAAAACACATGCAACCCACGAAAGGGGTGCAAGGAGGCGATTCGTGTAAACTTACTTGTTTTTGTGGGCTTCCAAGTGAATCTGCAGGGTACGTGGCAGTCAGGGGCACCTGTTTCGTCCAATGGCAAGGCAACACAAACTTACGCCTCATGACCCTTTTGACACACCAGCTGGCCTGTGGCAACAGTCGGAGGTCAGGCCTTCGGCACTTCTTGTGCGTTCGATAATTGACCGTTGTATCAAAGGTTTGGCTACAGGAAAGTCTACAGGAAATGACCCCAAAACAACCTAAATAAGCTGTTTTCCTGTAGAATTTCCTGTCACCCAACCCTTTGATTGTATCCACGGAGCGACTGCCCTGTCTGAGGGTGCTTTTCCTTTGCCTGTACGGGTCTCGATGGGTCTCAATCAACGGGCCACTACCGGTATGCCTTGTGTACCCCCTTGAAAGGTCAGCACGCCAAAGAACAGCTAATCAGACCACGTGTCTCCTCCAAGAACTTGCCAGGCGTGTCCTATCATGCAAACCCTAAAGTGAAAGGTTTGTGGTAAAAGCAACAACCATTACGCTGACGGCATCTAAGATTTTGTTTGGTTGGCTTGGGACTTGCATAGGGGCAGAGTATCCGATCGTTGATACCTGCGTCCAGTCGAGCGCGTGCGATCAACCAATCGTGACTGGTCACATCTACGTACAGATTGTGTTCCTTTACGGAACAGAGTAAGTAGAGAGCCTGTTTGGTTCAGTGTTGAGCGCGTTACCGTCGGGCAGCTGTTATTGCGGTATATACTTTCTTGATGTCTTTTTGGGATTGAGCTGGGCAGTCTTTGACCAAGGGATTTCTAGACGAATGGATTCCCACGAACTCCAACATCGTGAACAAGCTGTATTGTTCCATTGTTTGTTCAATATGTTTTTACTGGAGCTGCCATCTCAACCTCAAATATATTTGAAGTTCCAGCTTGGCTTCTGTCGTGTTGTTTTTTTTCGAAGGTCAGCTTGACACACTGATCTACGCAGGTTGTCCCTGGATTGTTTGATTGAAGTCATTCCTTTCCCGGACGTTTCCGCCCGAGGCAACCAATACCTCTCGCCTGGGCCTCGAGCGGCGGGGCCAGGGCCGCTATTTGACGCTCAGCAGACAAATTCCATAGCCACTTGAACGAGCCCAGTTGGACAAGCTAGGGGCGGTATTGCAACCTTGGTAGAACCCAAAGTCAAAGGGCTCTGGAAGCCGCTGCTTTTCAAAGATGTGATGCCGTGATGCCCGCTTCAGAATTGAGGTAAGTGACATCATGTGGCTGGCTTCTTCTCATCTGTTCATTCCCCTAGCTGAAAGCGCAGGAGTTCTCACTCCGAAATGTAGCAACTTGTCGCAATGGTTCATCTTTTCTTTCTTTCCGGTTGGTGGGCTCCCCTCTGGAAATGGTAAACCCCAACTTCGACCAAGGTCGCTGGCTGCAACTGGGTCTAACGTGCACTTTGGAAGAACCAACATCTTCAGGCTCAGGGGCCAGTGATAGTCAAGTTGTACACGGAAGATTGATGTTCATCCGTTTAAGTACTGTCGCTTGGAGTTTCTGAGGTAGACATTGTTGGTACTGCAGCCTATAGTGAATTTGACAGGAGGACATGTGGGCAAAGACGAGGGCAACTTGTCCATATCTGGCTTCCGGACATGTCACGTTTGACAAGCAATTAGTATTGTCCAGGGTTCTCATCACATGGTTTGAGAGCCAAGCCTGTGCCGAACATTTTTGGAAGTCTTGCTGTGAACGAGGACTGGGTCCGGCATTTTAGAATTGTTCAATGTCAGGCCCAGCTTGCTGATAAACTCTCGTCCAGCGATCAGTCGTTCCGACTCCAACCCAGCTTGACCGGAAAATATGAAGTACGTGTCTAAAACTACAGGGACTTGAAATTGCTGGAGGAGTTTCAGTTGGTTGGCTGGCCACTTTGCTGATGCCTTAGATTGCAACACAAATTTCAGGATGTTCAGGCAGATGTTGGTAACCTTTCTTAGGTTGTTCTAACGACAAACCAAAGGGAAAGCCATGATTTTGAGGTGTTCCCTATGCAAAGACAACCAAGTCTGGACCTCTGAGTGCATTTGTTTTCAAGGGAATCATAGCTCCTTTAAAGACTTCACCACGTGCGTTGTTCGCACATCCGTACTGATCATGCTTTAAGGTTGGCAAATGCTTGTTTGAATGGGTTGCTCAAACTGGACACTGACACAGACACACAGACACACACACACACAGACACACAGAGAGACACAGACACACACAGACACAAACAGACACACACACACACACAACCACCCACCTACCCACCCAACCATTCACGCACGCACGCACGCACGCACGCACGCACAGATACACACATAGATACACACAAATGAAGAAAATGCATGGCTTTCTGGGATGTTGACCCTTCCTATTTTGCCCTGCAGCCCAAGGAAAGTGCCCTCCCTCCAATCATGAAAGCTGAGGGTTTTTTGAAGACCATGCAACAGGCTTGTCAGGATGTGCAGGTGGATATTGTCCTTTTCAGTTGGCACCTTTTTGGGTTGCTGTAGGGCAAATCAAATGGAAAGCCACCACTCCTGTTTGTTGGCGGGGGGGGGTCTCCCGTGCAACGACTGTGTGGCAACCGTGGGTTACAAGCCTTTTTCTCGCATTCGCCCCCACTGGACACACTCACACCCACACACATGAACAACATGCACGGTCATCGTGGGGTGTTGATCCTTTCTCTTTTTCCCGCCTGAAGGAAAGTGCCGTGCCTCCAATCATAGCCCCACTTGGCTGAGGCAGGAGTACGAGAAGCAGGTGGCGGAGATCAAGAAGATGGACCTCGAGAAGCGGGATCTGAAGGCGAGTCATTGAAAAAAATCAAATTCGAGCCTCTCGTGTACTCGGTGATTCCTACTTTTTCCAGGAGGGGGCGGGTGAATGATGAACCTGGTCAACCTCTCACCTCCCCAAACTAATGTAGGTGTTTTGTAGTTTGTTTGTTTGATTTGTTTTGCGTTGTTTTGTGTTTCTTGTTTGCCTTGCCGGGGGTGTGGGTGGCGTAAAACCCAGGGAAGCACACACACACACAGCTAAACTTGGGGGATGGGATAGAATCCTGTAGAGTCAGGAGTCAAACTGGTAGAATGGGGGGACGACACCCGACAAATCACAGGGTAAGACCCTGAAACCAAAGGATGACCCAGGTTAAGCTGATTTGGAGCTTAAGTTGGCAATCCTGGAGCTGGTCGTTAGTGAACTGCTTGTCAGACTGCAAGCGACTTACTAATAGGGTTGGTCAAGTCGCTTTTAGCTGGTTGCCGGCAAATTGACTGTCAATAGCTAAGATCATGTGTGAGTTTATGTTACTGTTACTCATCATGTTTGAGGTCCTTAGAAGGTTCTCATGTTGCCTCACATGGATTTGTCAGTTTGGCTTCACTTGAAGACAAGACGGCAAAGGGTGCACTCAAAAAAGGGCACAGCCAGGTGAACATACGAGTTCTGTGCAGCAGTTGGGTGACTGCTAAACCCGAGACACTAGCAGTCTGATTGTGAAATGGGAACACAAAAATATCACACGGTCTTGAAGGGCCGCGCTTTTAGGAGTCACCCAATTTCTCAGGTCACCCTCATTTGGATTGCAACCCCTGCTTCTTGAGGGTACATGGGAAACCACACCTGAACCACCAAACCACCAATCTAAACCACCAATTGGAGGGAATCTGCACTTTCCGGCTTCTAGTTTGGAGTTGAACAGTCCATCTTCCTGTGGTTGTGGCATGTCGCAGTTCAGACATGTCCCCAACAGGCGGACGCAACGAAATTCAATCTGAGGTTTTCCGTTTGCTTAACGGGGAGTCTACGAAAAGCATTCTACATTTGCTTACGCACAAGGCAAACCCTTGATGTCGCTTCGTACCGGAACAGCCCAGAGTCTAAAAAGCAACAGATGACAGCTCAGGATTTTAGGTCGCAAACAAATAGGTGCAACAGCTCGCTCCCTTAAAGTTCTGCAAAAGCGCTCCTCGTGTTCCCAGACAGTTTGACTGCAAGCTCAGGAGTAGCGTTATGTTTTGCTGCACGCAAGATGAGACGCCGTTCGACGCAATTATTCTCTTTCACCCTGAGGGTCACCCTGACATATCTCTACAAAGAGAAGCCAAATGGTTTTTGGCTCCGTATCGCTCAGGACCAGAAGGAGAACGTGGAGATCTCCCTCAACTATTTTCAGAACAAGTACAAGGCAGGCCTCCTGTGGCTTGCTGTGGGTTTTGTAACCCCTTGAAAGGTATGGGTTTGTCTCCAAGAAGAATCCCCAACTTGGGGTACTTTCCCAGTGATTGTCCTTTGAAGCAATCCCCCCATTGGCATTATTACCCCACAGGAAGACGTGCCCTGCTGTGGGGAATCCGTCGAATCAGCCTGCTACTCGTGAAAAGAAAAGGGAGTATGCCTTGCTCGGTGGTGTCATGCGCTGCCTGGGAACCAGCAGATGGATGTTGTCAGGAAGCAGATATCCATTTCAAAGACTCATAGGTTGTTAGATCCAAATCGGTGGAATCTAAACTGACGCCGCCTCCTACCATGGAAGAGAGTATCATTCGCTTTTGAAGCTCATGTGGGCATGAATCTTCATTGGTGACCTTCTATCGACGTCATGTCATGAGTGAGAATGTATGGGTGGCTTGTTTTTCTTTGAATGGACTCCGTTGTTGGTGGTGTCAAAGGGAACCTAAAGGAAAACCATCGTTTTTTTGTTTACTTTATTTCATTTCTATGTTTTGGGGGGTCCCCTAAGAAACGACAGACCCATATGCACTCGTGCTTAGCATCTCAAGTTGCAGTCTCTTTAGTTGAAACGCGACATATCATGTTTGATATCAAAGGTTCCACCGTCAGACCCTGGATCTTGTTCCTACAGCTTCAAACAAATCAGGCCGCACCACCACCCCAGCCACCCACAAGCACAAGCACACAAACACACAAAAACGCAAACACCAACACAAACATTAACAAGCACACACACACAGCGCAATTGGTAAGACCAACTCGTCCACCTGTGGGGAACCCCTTTTTGGAAATTGTTTCATAGTGAGCAAGGAAACTAAAGGGACCCCAGCCATTTGTTGGGAGTGGCCAATTTCGAAAGCAGCCAACTTGTTCGGACTTGACTCTGGAACATGGTCCCTGGTTCCAGAACAAGTTGTGTGCTTCCCGGGATAATCAGGCAACCTTGGATTCTGCCCCCCCCTCTCTTTGTGGCATTAGTCTTGGGCGCTTAGATGTTCTCCAGCAAGTGTGCGAGATGCACGCCCTTTCTGCCCAGTTTTCAAGGAGACCGGCCGCATGGTGGGCACCCAGCGTCCCAAAGCTGCCCCGATCCCCCGATGCACGCCGCCGCAGGCCACCGCAGCAGCGTTGAGGAAACAGGAGACGGAGACCAGTGAAGCCATGGAAGGCCCCTGGTGGCTTCAGGGACCTTTTGAGCTGCTGGGCTTTTTGTTTGGTCTGACTCACTGACAGACCCAATTATTCCATGGATGTTCCGGAACTTGTCCAGCAGGAAAGTGCCTTCTCAGGTCTTTGGGTGTTCGCCGCAAGGTGAGAGGGATGGCTCGGATGCCCTCGAAGGATCCACAGAAAACAGGACTTGCCAAGGCTGGGCGAAGCAGACAGCAACCACCAATGATGAAAGGTTGTCAAGCAAGCGAAGACCCGTGAGGGCTCCTTTTCCAGTGATGCCAGACACTTCTTCAGGTAGGTGTATTCAATCATTCGCCACTTGTTTTGGTGTCAGCAGCTGTCACAATGCACAGATTTGCACTTTTCACATATCCTGCTCTGAAATCGCTGACAAGCACAAGCATATTGGTGACTGAAATCTCATCGATTTTTCGGAGTAACGCTGTACTTAGCAAAAAACATCATGACGGAGATCATCAGATTATGGTTGGCTTGCTAAACTTTCCTTTGCTGGAATTGTCCTAGACATGACTACAAGAATATGTGATTACTGGCTTGATCAGTTTGAGTAATTTCTCAGGTACGTCGACTGATGTTGATGTTTGAACGTTTCCCGAAGCCAGTTCCAGGTTTATGTGGGCATGAGTAGAATCAATGACGCTGTGATGAAGACGTGATCTTAACAGGCCTGCAACACTGCATTGCATATGGGGGAACACGTAATACAAAACTAGGATCATAACCTCACGAGTACTTCAACTCAGATCCAGAGCTTGTACGGGATTCCTTTTAGTCAGCTTCACTACTAACTTGTTGTTTATGTCGATTTGTGTGTGCATTGATATGAAGGATATCTGAGCAATTTTGGGGCGCACATGAGCATGTCCAAACCACCGGTGGCACCACCATGAGCCCACAAACTATTCCGCAACCGCAACTGAAGTCTCTCAAAACTTGTTACTGTAAATGAATGGCTTAATTGGTTCGCCAGTCTCAACCCAAACAACAACTCTCGCCTTGCCGGCCGGGCAACCATCCTTTGTGTTTTGGGAGTGCTACCAAGGTAATGGGGTTTCAACAGACCTGGTAAGACCCTCTCAAATGTTTGGCGGACATGGCGGACCAAACATCCCCTGAAATAAATGATGCCCTAAATGGTTGGTTGACACTAATTGTTCAAGTAAATTATGTCCACCAAACCCTCCCGCTTCCACCTGAAATCATGACGAAGCTGTATTTATGTAGTAGTTCAAACTAGTTCAAATCTATCTGTGGGACTCTGTCAAACCCCTTGTTTGTGCCAGGGGCCCTCACAGCACCACTTTCTGATGATTTAGCTATGTTATCTTTTGACATACTTAGTCATTGTAAGACCCGCCTCAAGAAGTGCGACGTATCCATGTCCTCTACGCCAGGCCTCGCACAGGCGCGCGCCAGGGTGCGAGAGCTACAGGCAGAGCTGAAGCGAGGAGGCCGATGGAAGCTGCACACAGACCGCTGCGAGGGTGTGGAGAAGTTGCCACCTTTGTGTGGCAAGGAAATCAAATGGCATATGGTTGTGAGTAGGGGCGACTCCGGGCTTGAGCAGGGAAGTTGTTGGAAAAGGCAAGCTTGAAACGGTTTCCCCTTGAAGAGTTGTTTTCTGTTGAGAGGGCTAATTTTCCAAAAGCTTGATGTCCCAAAACAGGAAGCCATGTCCAGGATATGGGTGCACCTTGTGGGGGTACGCTCAAAAAGGTAGGAGGGTGCTTGCGCGGGTTATCCAGAGGTCCCCTCAAAGGCCGGCTTCAAAGATAGCAAATTCATTGAACTTGGTATGTGTTCGTTGGGTGTCCCATGGGGTGATATTGGAGGGCGGCTTACAGGGAGCCCCGGGGAATCTCTCTCCCTTTGGAGCCAATGAAAAGGCGACATCCTTTTGGAGTGAGGGGGAAATTGTGCTCCGAACCCATCCATGCTTGCATGCGAGGTGTAGCGGTTCTAATTTTAACATGCTTGCAACAGGCAGTGTAGTTTGAACGGCAGCATGGCGTTCAGGTTTTGTCCGGCAAGCTGCATAGCATTGAGCGATACTTCATCAGAAAATGGGCTGTTAACAGAGTCTTAGGCAAGCTGTCAGTGTTCAGGCACGAAAGTACGCAAGAGACAAAATGTTTGATCCCACTTAATGTCCCATGAGTTGTTGACCCGATCGTATTTGCAGGCTCACCCCCGCCTTCCCCCTTGCTTACACTTCTGGTTCAACTGAATGAGTACCCAGAGCGATTCCACCCTTTTCCCTCTTTTATGGTTGCCTCGGCACCAAAAATGGACACCGACAAGAAGATGGAGGGTTTCGAGAAGCTGGAGATGATCAATTACCTTCTCATTTCTGGCGCTCGGGGGGGGCGGGGGTTGGGGCCATCTTTCCCTTGGAATTGGGGCTCTGGCAATAGGTTTGTTCATCAACTTCCACTTATAAACCCGAAACAAATCATTTGGGAGGGACTTTCATTGGTTTCACCTTGCCACCGTTCCGTGAAACCGCCTTCCGCAGGCTTGCACCAGGTGCCGGTTCAGGCGACGGCCTGTTGGCTCCAATGGGACGAACCGTTGGGGAGAAGTCTGGCTGGTCTTCAGCAGTTAGCCTTTGCACTATCAATCAGAAAGAAAAAACGGCACGTACGACCTATAGAGGTAACACACATCCAATTATTTGCTGAGCACTGGGCACGATTGTCAAACCTCCTTTGTGGTTTCCCTTGTCGGCAATCAGTTTTTGAACTCTCTTGTGCCAGGCATCGAAGCACCACGATTTTGGGACTTTGGTTGGGGCCGTCATCGTGGCTTCAATGACAGATTCACCTTTCAGCTTGGGATTGGATGCTGGGATTCGCGATTCGCCTATCACCGGTGCATGTTCTTACCGGTTTCATCTGACCTTCACCTTTTGTCTTACGGCGACAGCTTTCCCACTCACCAACAAGCACTTGTTTACTTCCTGCTGGGGGGCAAAGACGAACTTAGAGACAAGCAGTGAGTTGTCTTAACAGATGAGGCCGGAATTTGACATGAGTGTACGTAGCTTGCCGACACCGGCAAGACTGCGCGAGCCAATGTCGCCGCTTCTGGAGGGATGCAGCATCATCAGGTTTCATTTAATGCTTGAAATTGAGAGAGCCATCCAGTTCTTGATTGTTGGCAAGTGTATCCTTTTTGTTCATCGGTTCGTGTTGGGGTTGATTACTTTGGCACGACGACCAGTTCCTGAGGCTGTCAAAGTCAGAACTGCAGAGATTGTTTCCTTGAGCCTACCAGTTCACTGTCATGGATGGCAACATCCGAATGGTGAAGGAGCGGGTGCGGATTCCGCAGCAGCAGAGACTTTGGGGGCTCATTATTCAGTTTTTATCAGTACCACGTCTCATACCTCACCCCAAGACAAAACACGGCCCGCTGCCATGGGGACTCACCAATTTCTCCACAAACCAGTGGCCTACAAGAACCATCCTTTTTGACGGTACAGTGGTTCTTGCACTTTGCGCAGGGATGCACTTACTTGAGTTTCCCGGCGTCCTCTTCGCTTTGTTTGGGGCAACTACTCATCACCAGCTTGGTTCGGACAGGCCCGCGAGCCCCTGGACAAGGCGGTGATCGCGTGGGCCCAAAATCTGCCAGGGTGTGGTAAAGCCCCCATCCACCTCACCCTCCCAAAAACCCACGGAGCCATACCCCACCTGAGAAAACCTGCCCATGAATGGAGCCATAGTCTGGATAGGTCCTGAGCTTTCGGGAAGGCGGGGGCTTGGGTTTCTATAGGTCCTTGCCTGGAAGACCCAGATAGAGCCATCCTAACCTTCGCTCTTTGGTGGGAGAATATTTTGAAAATCAAGAAATCTGTGATGAGAGCAGATTCTCCGCGTGTCACCAGTTTCTTGGCATTTGGGACGCTTGGCACCATGTTGCGGCAGTGCGTTTTGGCCTGTACTGTACTTCTGAGACTGTATGTAAGAAACTGGTTGCTGTGTGCTTGCTTGTTTCGAGGCGCAATGCTACTTGCGATGCCCATAGTCCAGTGGATCAGCGCTTCCACGCTGGTAATACGTGCCCTCCACATTTGCTGCTGTCATCAGTGCTGACCCTCCGCGTTTTCGGGATCCAATAGACTCTGAAGCGGGCCTCCGGGACCACCCCGAAGGATTACGTGCGCGTTCCGCAGAACCATTTCCCTGCACAGAAGACAATTGATTCCAAAATCGGCCCAAGTCACACTGTACTGTTTTCCTGATATGTCCTCAATCCCGCAGAGCAGCTACCTGCAACTACCTTCTCCACCTTCTTCCCAAGAACCTGTTTAGTCTGAGGTTGGACCTTTTGGGGGGAGGGGGGGAGGGGGGAAGGGGGGAAGGTCTATCCATCCGATGTTAAGAGGGAAACGGGTCTCTCGGGATGTGTTGGGTGGCAAGTGAAAGAACACCTGCGAGCATACAATTTAGGTGGCCGCCTTCAGACTGTGTGTGGGTTTGGTTTCATCTGGGGTACGTAGACTTAGGATACATTTTACATCTTACCAGTGACTCAAAGTGAAGCAAACAATAAAATATACATTCTACAACTGGGCCTAACTCTAATCATGCCTTTTTTGCGCAATGAGGAAGAATGGCTCAATGTTCGAAGTTGAATCAGGCAAGCTATGTTGAAGCAGTGTGTTTTGGCACCGTCAAATGCCCAGACAAAGCACCATGATGCTTTTTGAACGCAGGGCAGTTTCTGTGTGCAGCAAGGGTGCATGATGGGATAGCTAAAGATGATGCTTTTTGATACTTGTCGCCACGCAAGTTACTTTCCAACCCCAAAAGTGTCACTGCTACTTGGGCAGCTTTCAGTACGGTGTGCGTGGTTTGTCGCGTACGGTGTGACTAGTCTGTCACTGCTCAGCTGTGACCTGAGGTGAATCACTCTCCGACCCGCCTCAATCAGGCAGGAAGTTGATGAATTTGGGATATAGGCAGCCAACAACTCCCCACTGCGCACCACATTTCCGGAACATGTGGCGAACAAGCACATTTATGACTGATAGCCCATGTTTCACCAGCACCCTCAGAGCAACTCAATGGGCCAAAATAAGCCCGGCATCATCGGACTATCCCACGTCAAGACGAAGGTACGCGATGCATTTTTCCCCATGCAGGTTGCATTTTCCCCTTTCCGGCAAAGACAGGCCGTCTGGGGGAATCATGATCATCCACCAACTAATTTACCAACCGAGGGCCTCCTTTGGTGTCGCCAATCAAAGGTCTTATCGAATTTGCTTACCCTCCAGTCCTCACATGGAAGCTGACTGAGGGGTGCAGGAAGACTATTTCCTTTGAAAGGGATCCTCTGGTGGGTTCCATGTCAGTGGACAGGAGGGTATTTGCCCGGAGCCGTTCGCTTTCGATGTAGGTACTGTTTGGAATGATGGGCATAAAGGGATCCAATCCCAAAAGCAAGCGGCCGGATGTGTTTTCCCCTCGAGTTCCATGTTCATGTTCAAGAGGGAACCATTTGGGGGAACCACCCAAGATACCTGGAAGCCCTGCCAGTACAGGGAGCTTCAAGGGAAAGCCTTGCGTGGTCCAGCACCTGCGCACAAATTTGCAGCCAGCGACCACTCTGCGAGGAATAAACTTGGCATTTGTGGTGCTATTCCGTTTGTTTCATTGTGTTTTGACACCTGGCCTGTACTCTCCCTCACTCTTCCTGGTACAGTGTTGTTCTTTTTGTTTCTGGGTTTGCTCATTTGTCTTTACAGTTCATGTTTGCCCACATACTAGAGTCGCATACTGTCTCTTCCTCTTTCCGACGCGTGCACACAGTTGCAAAAAGAGCACGCTTGGCTGACCCAGGCGTATCCGGAATCCGCGCTGGATCCCCGGCGCCCGAGAGCGGAGGCGCTGGGTTGTCTTCGTGACCAAACCCAAGTAGGTGGGGCATTTTCCAATTGGCTTGTACAGTTTGGTTCCCTTGTTTACCTTCCGGAACTGGACATTTAGCCTTAAAAATTGGGTGATCCTGATTTACCCTTGCAGTAGATGGACTGACCGACCGGGGCCAGGGATCGGTTTGTCAGGAGCCCGAGCCAGCGGCGAATGGAGTTGAGGCACGTGGGCTTTGGCGACAGCCAAAAGCATCGATTCCGTGGCTCACCCCTTCTCAGCGGGTCTAAGGGGCAAAATGGGTAAACTCACCGTGCAAACAGGGAGATGTTGTTTTAGATGCTGGAACACCCCTGAACGTGGTGGTGTCTTTTTAAAGCGATTCAACCATGCATGTGTTTGTCCGCGTGGTCCTCAAGTAACATTCACACCTCTTGATCCCACTCCCAAAGGTAAAGGGATGTGGCGACCGAAGCTCACACAGATTCCTCTCAGGAGCCTTTTGGGTTGGGAACTGTTGTCACAGTTTTCTCCTGTACTGGCGGAGGGTTTTGACACACAGGGTTCCAGTCCAGGGCCTTTTGGATTCCATGTTGAAGGACTCTTGCCACAAGAGATTCACACCTAACTTGGAGGTGACATATCCACATTGAACCCCTAGGCTGCGGATCTGTGACCGGAAGCACCCTTTTCCGATATAGTGAATGTCACTGAGGAGCATTCTGCTGGCAAACCCTCATGTAACAGATGTCCACCAAAGCATCCCCACTGAGGCGACATGTATATTTAATATAAAATTAAAGTATTATGCAGCAGACCTAACCTTGTTTGTCAGGCGAATAAAGGAACAATCAAGCTGAGCAGCAAAGATACATGTTGTGGAATGGGTAGACATTTGTGAGAAATCACACTGTTGTGGACAGGGTTGACATTTGTGGAAAGTCACGCAACTTTGCTACAAGTGCAGAAAGTAGGGAGCTTTCTTGCAAATTGCTATCAACGTTCCAGTACTTTTGCACAACTAGTAGGAAACATGTACTATGGTACCCAACAGTACTAGCATTTCTCCATTTGTTCCACATATTTTGGCCCGGTGTTGGCACAGTTCCTTTTTCGTGGAATCTTTGCATCTCGAATCCAGAACGTACATCTGGGAGAATTGACAAAAACAGTTGCAATGCAACAAAATGAAGCAACGAGGCCAATCTTGGCTCAGTATGCGGGTTGCGAGGGTACTCCAATGGACGCTTATGCATATGTGAGAGGAACCATAGGCTTGGCAAAGTTGAGATGAGGACGGGGCCGCGGTCCTTCTGGGGTAAATCGCTCACGTCGCGATTTGGATCAGTGCCCAATGCCAACGGGAACTGGTGACCAGTTCCTTCTCGATTTGGCCACGTATTTCTCACAGGGCCCTTGTTGGGGAGTCCAAGCAGAATGTGGCCACTTCCTGAGGACCACCATGTCAAGGAAGTGGCGAAAGGGGGCAAAGAAACACCAAGCGCAGTCCTATGAAGCCCCCAGAAACCTTTTCCACTTTGCTGCAACAAGGGACCTTTTGACTTCACACCCACCCTTCTCAACGGCGCCCCGTCCTTAGCGAGGCGGAAAACGGGCGGCCATCATTGCGCCGTGGCCGCAAGGAGTCTGTGGCCCTTGGTTTTGTGGTGTTTGGGTTTGCCTTTTTAGGGTCTTCGTCTACTGGGATACCAAAAGGAAACCCAACTTGTGGGTGCTACGTCGACCCCTGGCTTCCCTGAAGGGCAAGGGGCCCCTTGTTGAACCGATTCAGGTGGAACTTGGATCGCGTTCAAGGCACTTTCCATGTTTGGGGAAACCAAGAGGAAAGGAGAGGGAAGCCAACGGGAGGGGAAACCCAGACCCTTTGTCATTTGGTAGACGCCGCATTTGTGAACGTCGGGTGGCGGTTGGTCTGTGGGTGAGGGTTTTATTGGGTTCTCAATGTTGGTGTTTGTACTGTCTCAGGAGCTGCCAACCAAATGGTTGGCTGTTTGTTTTTGCATGTTGCTGACTCACTAGCTCTTCAGTGGATTTCATCCTTTGTTCCATTTTTGTGTGGCGGGTTCCCCACCAAAAATGGAATCAACCCCACAAAAGGCCCTGTTTGTACCGGAAGATGAAGCACACCCAACCTGTAGTGGTGGATGTTTGATCTACTGTAAATGTGCATCATTCAATTGGTGGGGCAAAGCAGGTGCGATACCTTTGTGCAGAAAGGGTGGGTCTCCGCGCATCAAGAGCTTTGCAGAGTCCAATTGAGGGCCAGCCCTCGCACGCTCATGATGCTGGCGGTGCTGTGGTTTGCTTTGTGTGTGTGTGTGCGTGTTCGAACCTGAGTCCAACCGAACACAAGGAAAGAGGAGGACGGCCGATGAGCCAGCGTCCTTGCCCGCGTTGCGTGACACCTGTTAGCTTTGATCCAGGAAACACATCCTGCCCATGTGCCCCAATTCCCAGGCTCTCCCAGCTGAACCTGAGCGGAATGTTCAGGAGCTAGACATCATGCTGGCTGAACTGGAGTAAAGTTGTGTCAGGTTCGCCAACAAAAAGGCTGTTTGGTTTGGCAGAGAGCTGTCCAGTCCAGCGAGTCAGGTTTCACATGTACATAGGATGCCCAGCGGGAATGGGGGACCGGCTGAGTTTGATATTTGGTTTTTACGCTCATGGCTTCAATCCTGTTGCGCCGACTTTCTCAATCTTTGGACAAATTTCTCCAGGAGGTTGAGTTGTCGTTTCCTCGGGTTTTTTTCAATCCCGGAACAGTGCGGCATCTCGCGTCACTTCCTCTACTCCCAAGGGCGCCTGGCGAAACGAAGTGAAATTCTTCAGTTAGAGCAGCCCCGGATTGCGTCGATTTCGATAGAAAGCCTGGCTGCACGAAGGGCACGCGGCCGTTTGATTCTTGGTCAGCAGATGCAACTGCAGGTGCAATTCGTTTCGTGCCAAAGTATCGCATTGAACCATAGGGAACCACCAAAGCATGATTTGAGCTTTTTGCTTTTTCAGGACGTCCCAAGATTTGACATTCCGTGAACAGCCTGAAGACTGACTCAGCTTAGAAAGGCCCAAAGGCCAAATTTTGGCTGACATGGCATTCAGCCTCCCCCTGAGCTTGTGGGTTCTTGGTGGCTCCTTCCATGCAGGCAGGGTGGCTCTAATCGACCACTTGATGCTATAGAATCATCAGACAAGCTCTCTTGAAGTGGGTTGATCGCATTCCAAAGTCGTTGAGGGCGCAATGTGTGTTAGAAAGCCGGGATTCTTCAGTTGGACAAGGACTTGCTCCCGTGGTTTGGTCTTTTTTTGAGGGTACCATTTCCGGATCGCTTTAAAGGGACACCAAATGAAACAGGTTGAACCGTTTCCCACGTTAGGTTCCATATCCCAGACGAGCCCAAATGCAATGAGCGCGCCTTGCAATGGCTCAAGCTCATGATTTAAACGTAAGGGCAGGACAAGCGGCGGAACAGCTGTGAGGATTGGCACAGACTGCAGTACGTGGCACTACGGCAGAACTGGCAGAAACCCCAAGATTCAAAACATGCATTTGTCCTGCTCATACAACCCCAATTGAATTGGGTTTCATTTGAGCAAAGAACGAGCCAACATTAAGTGCTTCAGAGATTAGCTCACACAGTTGGCAGCTCGCGAATTCCTTTCGACTGCTGCTTGTCGGCACTTCTGTCGCCCAAAGGGGACCACATCTGCCTGTTGCCCCCAAGTTTGGTTGAAAGAAGGGTTCAGCCCGTGGAAGGTTTCGATGAAGGTGATATCCCCGCTCTTCTTGGGAGGTGTCCGAAACCGCATTTGGCTGCGTGTGCTGCGCATGTTGGAGCTGGTGGCCTCAGGTTGCCCTTTAAGATCAGCTACTGTACAACAAATGTGCCCCTTTTTTCCCTTGGCCGCTGAAGTTCTGACGAGTACTTACCTGTACTAGTCGACTAGCTTCTGGCTTTTACACCGAGTGATGGATTCTCTGATTTGAAGGTGGGAGGGTCAAGCGCAGTTGACTGATCAAGGGGCAGTTTGTATGTTTGTATCCTCACATTAATCACATGACTTTCACTATCCTGTGTAGAGTGCGGGTGTCCTGTCAAGCTTGAGGACATGCCCCGCTCGCATGACAACCACTGGGAGGATCATTTGATAAAAACATCTGGGGCGGGAAGAGCTCCATTGCAACTTCTGCTGAAAAAACTGTGCAGGGATGTTAGAGGACGAGCAGCCCACACCTTTTTTTTTACCTTAGAAGATGTTCAATATCACTTTGTTTGAGGTGTGCTTCCTTTTGGTGATGCTCATAGGGGATAGAGCCCTGTTTGGGATTTGGTTTCAGTCACGGCCACACAAGTCCGACGGGACATAGTTTAGATTGGAAATTGGCATCTACCCCTTGAACCCTGGATGTTCCATCTCCGATGGAGGGAGTCTTATAGGAAGCAACGTCCCCCGATTTATCACTTTTGGGTTATTTGTTGAACTGACTTGCACCCCTCCAAAATGCTACTTAGCTCATGGCTTGCGGCTAGAATGCGCTGCAAGTTGTTCAGGGCTCCTTAAAAGATACAGTTTGCCCATTGGAAACATGGCTTTTTCCACCAAGTTAAAGGGAAACCACCATCCTTAAAGGATCCCTGTTGTTTCAGCTGCTTGCCCATTGGTTGTGGCACGCCTCCTTGGGTTTGCTTGCAAAAATGGTGCCAACTGTCGCAGGGCGCCCAGGTATCTGGCCAGAGGTGTGGAGCAGGTTCTGGCAGAGGGAAGTGAATTGATGACTATGTCCAAGATAGGCAGCCCGTTGGTTTATCATCTTATATATGAACATGCACATGCGTAGATTTTGAAGGTAGCACATCAATTGGCGTGCGCCCATGTCCATCCAGTTCCTGTATCCCTCGTTTTGACACACTGCATGTGTGTTGTGTGTTTGAGCAAGACCCTGGAACGCATACATGGTCTCCGCAGTTCTACGCGACACGGCTTCTTAAGGTGGTGTTCAACATCACCTTTGGGGAAGCCCACTTGTTTCGGTTGGTTTTGAGCTTCATCGTTTTGCTGGGTTTGGTGACCGGTGACCTTTGAGGGATTTCCTGGTCCCAGGTGTGAGCCATGGCGGAGATCAAGCGGAGTTTCAATGATGAGCCGCTTGGGTGTAAAAGCTGCCAGACGAGCCACAATTCTAGAGGTGCTGTCTGGGCCGAAGAAATAGCTTTGCATTTTTGCCGGTATCCCTTTTGGGGTTTTCAAGTTTGAAAACCAGAGTTGGAGGTGTCCCCTAGTTTGAGACACACCTATGGTTAGAATATAGGGTACTACTGGAACAAATTACATCATGATCACAGGACACAAAGGTGCGTAATCATCCAGCTCCTTATGTTGGATGAAGGCTTTCAGGACAGTCGCAGCCACAAATATGTTGTCATTGGTTTTGGTTTGGTTGTGGCTCTCCCAGGGAGCATCCGTTGGAAGGCGTTGGATATCAGGGATTTTTGAGGTAGAGTTCCTTTTTCTTAATGAGCCAACGGCACAATGTGTTGTCTTTGAATGGGGAATTAATCAGCAAGCAGATTCTCAGGCCTCATCTGGCTGTTGGTAGCCAAGGGCGACACCATGAAACACCCTTTGAAAACCAAATAGACAATGCCGGGTTACATACCATATTGGCAACTGGCATCCACCTGGGGTCACTATATTTCCGGGTTCTTTGGGCAATTGAATCAAAAGTTTGTTCTTTGGCTTCTGTGAACACATGGAATCTGTTTGGATCAACCCCTTCCCCCCCCACATGCCCATGGCTTTTGTTGGGGCTTGGAGATCAACAGCGAGTCCCTTCTTTCGATCTTTTGACCTCTCAGTCCGTACAGTTGCGCTCGCGATGTTTATTTGGGGACCGTCTAACAAATCAACTGATGGCCGTCAGAAGGACTGTTCCACTGGAGGAGCTTGAAATGGGCATGGGTGCATGTTTGGATTGCGGTGGGGTCACATTCATTGGCCAGCGATCATATGGCCACAAGAGCCTCAAGGACACGTACGCCGAGGGCTCAACAAGGAACAGTGGAAGGGTGAACAAAGGACCCAAGTAAGTGGAAATGCCAGAGTTGTTTCCTATGCTGCAGTCCTTCTGAGTGAACAATGTCAGCGACGGTGCTCTTGACAGCTGAAATGTGTCAGTGGTTGCTTCGCACTGTGACTGAGGATGGGCTTCTTGAAGCGTGATGACCCCACCAGCTACTCCATCCGACCTGGCTTCGTGAATGGCATGTGCCTCGGCGAAATCTGGCACTGGTTTTGGGCCTATCAAAACAGGGCAAGCCTTTGGACGGGCCATGAGTCGGAGCGATTGAGCGATGATTTTTCTAGGGATAAAGGTGAAACGGTTCGCGGAGCAGTTTTCTGGTTGAAGGAGTCCTCATGATTCATTGATTTTGGCCAATCGAGTCAGAGCGATGTTTGCAGAAGTGGTGGCCATCAGAACGAACAAGTCTTGTGTGCGGTCCATCTAGCTGACAAGATTAGTTCCAAAGATTCCTGCAATGTGCACTAGCTAGTTTTCTCCCAATATTGGCAAATATGACCGATATGGACCTTACAGCAGCTAGAGGCTCCCCTTTGAACAGTCGATTACGAGATGTGGCATTGTCTCATAATTGGAGGACAACATGTGTTTTTTCCCGCTCCCTTACCCCTAAACCAACCGAAAAAGGGTATACTGAACAAGAAAGCAGCCACCCCCATGCATCCCGATTTAGGGTCACCCCAATTTGGGATTCTTATGGAATAGCTTCATCATTACTAGTGGCGCGTGTGGCTTACCATGCGCAGTGCACGAAGCCTTTTCGGCTTTCAGGAAGTAGGCTTCTCCTTAAAAGATCCTCAAAGACATCAATGTGCCCATTCACAATAGAAAACCTTTGCCACCAGACTAAACAGAAGCTACACAGTTGTGGCAGGTCGTGCTCAGGTCGAGAGTCTTGTAGCCCTGTACACCCATGTTGGTTGCTCATTCCCAGGGTTTGTCAAAGTTAGAAAGGGCAGTCGAGTCGCTTCAACTTATTGCGTTGAACATGACTTGTATGATGGCAAAATGTGGGGGCTGGTGCGAGCAGATGGTTCATCTCCAAGTCGGGAACGCGTTTGGATGATTTGATCGTGAAAAGAAGCCAAAAGGAAGCCAAAAGGAAATCAAAGGAAACCAGAAACGAAACCAACCGTCCCCAATGTTGAAATGCAAGCCCGCATGGGAGGTTGTTAAACATGGCAAACCTATGGCCCTTTGGTGGACCCTGGTGCTGCCTTGTGCCGCCTTTGAGTGGATATGAAGTCAAGGAGGGCCCTAAGTTTGAAAAGCCTCCGCGTGTTCCCTCTACTTGGGCTCATATGAGGATCCGGTATTGAACTTAGCCGCACATGAGATCGAAGGGAATCTCATAGTGAATAGAAGAAAGTGCCCCAACAAATGGGGACCTGTGGGTACAAG